AGGGAGACCCGGGGCGGGGGGAAGGCTGTAGAGGGAGTGGGAGCTTTCGGGGAGAGGGGATGGCTGTGGGGAGAGGGCTTGCAGGGGTAGGGGGCTGCCTGAAGGACGGGATTTTTGTCTAATGGGTTGGAGGGGAGCAGGAGCAGTGTTATGTCTGTGACCCCCCTCTTCTCCCCTTCCCAGAAAGGATTTCCATGCCCTTTCCCCTTCTTCCAGAGGGTGAGAGGCAGCTTCCCATGGGCATTTCCCTTGGCCCCTCTCCCCTCCTTTCCCCTTCCTAGTACACTCTTGCCCAGCGCTACAAATGCGACCTGTTTCGGTACAAATGCGACCTGTTTCTCGCCCACTGTTACCACAATATGTGAGATTAATGAATTACCCCCATCTTTCTTTTCCCAGCCTGTGCTGGGGTGGGACCGTCAGAGGCTGGTGTTGTGTAACTTGTGTGCCATAGGGGACACAGAAAGTCAGTGGCCCCTGGGTGCCTTGGTTTCCAGTTGGCATAGTGGGAATAATAGCTGTGTCCTTCCACAAGGAGTTGTATGGGGATCAAAGTTCATGAGGTGGCCTGATCTGGCAGTAGCGATGGCTATTTGAGGATTTGAGATTGTTATTGAGGGGCCTGCAGGTCTTACGTCTGTGAATTGACCTCCTACCAAGTCCAGAGGGCTTAAAATGTGGTTTATGTGTGGAATGGGAGAGTGCCCTGTTGTTAAGAGTCTCTCTCTCCCAGAGCATAGACTTCTTTCTGATTTCATTAACTTTTAATTTTGTTTTTCATTTTCTGATATCCATACCTTGAGGTACAGCGAGTGAAATGCTGAATTGTTTCTCACCCACTGTCTATTGAGGTTTGTGGAAACTGAGTTTGTTTTCTTCTTCTGTTCTGTCCCCAGAGGCCTTAGTTTTTAATGACCCTGACTTCCAGCACGAGGATTTGAACTTCCTGTCCCGTAGCCAACGCTATGAGCAAGCCATCAGGAAGAGCTCTCTGATGGTTATGAAGTTAAGAGAATATGGAATTGCAGATCCGGAGGAGATCTACTGGTTTAAAAGGTACCTAGCTGTGGAGTTGGCTTCTTGTATGTGCTTTGATCATCACCAGGGACATTAGAGAGGTGCTTTTTTGCTATGCTTGCTGTCCAAAGGAAGCTAAAGACTTGTACGAAAGCCCACTCAAGTCTTGGCTTCAGTGAATTTCAGATGAAACCTGATTTACTGAACACTGTGTTTTCTTAAATTTTTGATGAGGAATGCAACATTAACTATTACACCCTTTATATTATATATGGTTCAGAAAGTAAAAAACAGGATTTGTAGTCTGATTTTTCTCCCCCCCCCCCCCCCCCCCCCCAAAAATATACCGAAATATTTTGAATCTGAATAGATCTGATGAGGTTGCAGCTTCTAATGAAAACCCTTAAAGCAGATTACTTCACTTTGCACTTAGACCTAATAAAGTTGCATTACAGGCATACTTGAAAATGTTCCAAGATAGTTATAATCAAGAACTTATAACCTATCTGTCCTGTCTCCCTCTTCCAAGCTCCTGGTGCTGTAGTGGTTCCCTTTGACCTAGAGGCTTTTTGTTGTACCTGACTCTTTGTTTATCTGATAGTATTACCCTTGGGTTAAGTTAATAAAAATAAAACTGGCTTTACATCCGAGTTTCATTCCTTCCAGCTTGCAGGGAACTTAGTTCCTGACTTTGACATATTTCTCCCCTTAGTTTTACTAAACTCATTCTGATACAATCAAATAGAAACTGCTTAACAGAGAGACTACGCAGGTCTAGAAATCTGGACATAATACCATGAATATATCCTCTGGCACATGAAATTAACATTGCACCTTAAATAAATAAGGCACTGGTAGAATCACAAGCCCTCTCTGACTGGATTTGTGGAAAAGCTGTGATTGGCCTCAGAGCATGAATATTGGGACTAGTTAAAATCATTTTGTCTGCTGTAGTTTTAATTTTGAAGAAATTGGTCTGCACTGCCCTGTGTCATAAAAGTTCTCATGGAAGTAACATAAATGTTCTTTTGAAAAGTGGCATCAGTGGGCAATGATAACAAGAAAAAAGTTCAGTGACTGCATTAGATTATTCAGGTACTGCATGGCAAAAGTTAATCATTAATTTTTCCTACACAAGGATTATTGGAAGCGATAGGGAAGTTTCTTCAATTATTTTTATGGACAAAATTCGGAGAAGTATATCCAGTATACCAGCTGGCAAACTTCAATGCAGTTTGCAATGTAAATGCTGTCTTTTGCTAGCATTACTGACAATATTTTACAAATACAGGACTTTCCTGAAGTATTGAAGTGATAGGTTCTCATTTTGTCTTTCCATACACTTATTTGGGAGTCAGAAATTCTTAACTTTAAATGGGTGAAAGCTTAGTATTTCATATAGGTACCAAATAATACATCCATATCTTATGTGATATGAATAAATGTGCCTAGTCAGAATTTGTGATCCAAAATCAACTGGAACAATGAGGAAGGCTTACTTTTTTCAGAGTCAATTCTAATTGCAGGCATTCAGGATTTCAGAAGATAATTGCAGTTACTGCAGACTAGCTGTATTTTCCAGTGTCTTCTGTAATAACATGTAGAAGAATGAAGAGCAGTACATGTAATTCTTACCTACAAGTGAAGTTTGTTTGCTCTAAGAACTGTATACTGTTAATATTCTTGATTTGAATTCTTCAGTATAATGTCTGGTGTTTGCAAGGGAGGTTACTGGCTTACTGCTTCTTAATAAATGGGAGAAATGAAAGGATTATTTTTTCACACTTTGATTTCATTTGCATTTTAACATCTATCCCCACTTTATCTCACCTGCTGTTAAACATTTTTTAAACTTGGTGAACTCCACCCAACTTGCAAAATTAAGTTTATTTCTGTCACACATCCAAACGTGCTAATTGGTGCAACTAGAAGGGACTTCATTTGTGTAAAAGCTGACCTGGAGAAACTGTTTGAGTTAATTCCTTTTTCCAAACTGGAAAATTGAATGGATATGGTGTTGTGACATGCCTTGAATGAGGTTTATGAAATAGATTAAAGTCCTTGATTCTGATGTCAAGTTTTATTTATCATGATTGATTATCAGATATTTACATATGGAAGTTTAAAATATTTTGCCAGTTATCCCTCACGCCTTGTGACTATCCCCAATCAGCAGGGACAGATTTATTTACATACGCAATTTTTGACAATTTTGAGCTAGTTGTTCTCCTGTAGCTTTTGTATACTTCCAGAACTTCACTAGGTAGCTTTGTATCATGGCTGACCAACTTTATAGCTTGATTTATGAATAGGCGAGGAGAAATGCTTCTTCCTTCAGCTGCCCTGGAGATATGCTTAAACAGTTGTTGCTGCTGTGACATGTTGAACTGAATGCTCCTCCTTCCTGTTACCACAAGGGCCTTGTTGGGCTCCAAAGCATATGACGATCTATTGAATATATTTAGAAGCCATTTTAGTTGCTTCTCATCTGCTGTGACTACAGCTTATAAAGGCCAGCAGCCTTAGAGTGTCAATATTTGATTTCTTTTACAGTCTGACCGCAGCACAGTGTAAGCATGAAAAATGGGAAATTGTTCTTATATGTAATGCTACACAGCTCTTTGAAGAGAGCAATCTGGTCAGTTTTAATTCACCTTCAAATTCAAATAACCTTCATCAAGGAAAATGGGATTAAGTGAAGAAGTGAAAACAGTTGGGAGTAACTGGGGCACAAAAGAAGAGAAGATCAGAGAGTTGCAAGTCAACAGATGATTCCTGTGTTCATAAGCATTGCATGAATGTGCACTTTCCCTGTGAGAATATGTCCCTACTTCTCATTTTGGCACTGAAGTTAGGGCCTGGAGTAACTTTCAGCAAATCAAACCAGTAAAACTGTAGCAGTGGCCCTGCTAGCCACTGCTGAATTAATTTGGAGTGTATGAGTCTGACTTGGGTGTTTTGATACAGGTAGAAAAGGCGTTTATTACCATAGCATTTGTTAACTCTGAAGCCCAGTGAGCACAAGTCAGACATACCCCTGGCTCAGTCTCCACTGAAGCAATCCTTCATGCTCTTCCTTGAGAGAGTTACCTTAAGAACTGCAAAAAGCTAGAAAAGCTTGCTTGCGGATTTTGCTTTAAAGTAAATGACCCTCTTCTGTGACCCAGTTCTGCAGCCTGAGAATGTCTTTGCACTTGTTCATTTAGCTTTGGAGTCTCTCAAAACATAGACTTCGTTTCTATTGTACCCTGTTCACTGGCAGATAAGCTATCAAACTCATCTGTCAAATACAAGTGCCTTTTACTACATGGGTGGTGTTGGTTGCAGTGAAATTTGGAAAGATCTATATTGCCAAAGTAGCGTATTATTACACATCCTTATCTCATAAGTGGATTTGGAACTGCAGCCCTCCTCTTCCCTCACTGATTGTCATAGTAAATCTGACTTCAGACCAATGAGGTGATATTTGGTCATCGATCAAATTGCTAATGCTAGATGCAGCTAGCTGCATTCAGTCTTGATGTAGCAAAGTGCTTGAACAGTACACGATGCAGCCCTGGGAGAACAAGCTGTGTAGGTAGTGGGAAATGCCAAGTGGGAATGTAGAAATGGGAAGAGAAAGGAGTAGGAGTTTGGAGAAAGAAAAAGAAGGAAGGAAAGCTTCTTCCTCCCTTCACAGCTAGTACCTCTTCTGTTTGCCCTGTGTCATGAGGAAAATTGGATTCTCACTCGCCATGCAAGTTGTTAAAAGGCACATTAAGAAAATCCTAAACATTCAGTGTGGAGCATGCAGAGATGAAAAGTTTCTGCTGTAAATTAGCTAGCTTTCAGTTCTGCTTTCAGCTTTGTTAATGCAAGAAGCTGTTAAAATGCTGCATGTTTAGTTAGTGAAATAGTATGACCTTCTGACACAAGAATGTTGCGAAGTATCTGCTTGCAAAACGTCACTCTTACTCTGATCAGAGAAGGTGTTAGTTAAGCATGAAATATCTGGCACTTGCAATAAACTTACTGATAGGCAGTGAAAGTTGCTGGTGTGACCTTAAGATTTTTTTTTCCTGGAGCATTACCTTCAAAGAAGCAGTGTCTGACCTGATTTTTCTGACAGCAAAGTATGTGCTGCACCTTCTCCACAAGCTTTTTGAATGGCTTCTGAAAATACACAAAGAGCTGTTCAGTCTCTTCCCAAATTGCACTGAAACAGTGTATTTCAAAGTCAGCACTCATTTTCTCCCTGTAGGTTTGTCCTTTTGGGCCCAAGGAGTAGGTGCACGGTAATTGTGTTCTAGGCGGTGAGGGAGTAAAGGGTGCTGCTGTTGCTATATGGGTCCCGGAGTAAATGAAGAATCCGTGTAGGAAACTACGAGGATGCTGAAAAATACGCTTATTTCCCTGTCCTTGTAGCATTTTTAAGCCCTTGGTCACCCAGATAACTTCTGCTTTGTAAATATGTGCTGCTGTAGGCAATAGCATATTTTCTGGTATGAAAACTGTCTGCCTTGATCCCAAGAACACTAAAGACTGTACCTGCACTCACACCAGCTTAAAGCACAGTTAATATATTAATCACCAGTATTAGATTACTTGATGACAATAGTTTTGCTTCTGGAAGAATCCATGGCTTATTCAATTGTGTCCATTTAAAAACTGTTCCACTTAAAATAAGCGTCTTCAGCGTGCAGCTCCATGGTGCTGGAGAAGCTTTGTCCTGCTTTCTCTCGCCCTAAGGCTGATTTTCACGGTTTGCATAGGGATCTGGTTTTGAATTATCAATTATTCACTCTCTGCTCCCAGGCACTCATTCCAGGCATGGTATAAAATACCAGTCAGAAATGCTGCTGTAATTTGAAAAACTATATGCATAGCATCCACTGCGCCGTGTGGATCTGTGTTGGCAACAAACTTAAACGTGCTGCCTGGGCAGGTATTAGTACCTCGTGATGGAGGGATGTATTTTCCTTGTAGGTATCTTGGGCAGGTGGGAGAGATCTTGTATGTAGGTATTCATGCAGAGCATTCGTTTGTTCCTCCATCTTTGAATTTGGATGGAATAAGCATTTGTGTACAATAGATGGAAGATGAAAAAACTGTTCAGGGTGCAGAATGTTGCAGGGAAGATTCTGTCATTTACTATGTAGCTTTTACAGAGTGAAACTTCCCAGCACGTTTGTGTTATGGAGCTTGTTTTAACTGGGAATGTACTTTGCCTGCTATCGTGGCTATTAAATTAATAGAGCTTTCTCTCATGAAATAACTTCTGTTTTGATGAAGCATATCTCATCTAAAATGTCTGACTTCCATTCCCTCCAGCACTAGACTGTAACAGTAATTTTAATTGGAGGTGAGTTCCTGATCTCGCAGCTGATACAAGCAGCTATACAGGTAATACAGAGCTCTTCTGAAAAGCACTTGGTCACCTAAGAAGCCTTTTTCTTTTCAATACATAGTGCTTCTAGCTAATATGGCCTAGTTCTAGGCTACTAGCAGTAGTGGGATTTATTCTCCCTAAGCTTGAGAGACGGGGAAAAAAGATTTGATTTTCGTGTCCTCAGTTTTAAGTTACTCATGAATCTTTGTAGAATAGTATTTTTTCCAGTTACATAGCAACAGCAGTATTCATAGGGTGAATAAAACGGCTGAAAGAAGAATTTATTTTCCTATTAGCATTGCCTCTGATGCCTCCATATTTGGAGGTTGCTTGTGGGACAAAAAAGGATTGAAATAGGTAAAGAGATTATTTATCTTATGCTACAGTTGGAGAAAAACCTTCCGGTATCACAGTAACAGTAAGACTGAGATCCAGATCCCTCTATTTCTCTCCTGTAGAACATGCTTGGGCAGTTTTCCTGAACCTTTCGGTCTCCACTTCAGCATGTTTCAAAAAACCTTAGAGACCCAAACGACTGATGCTCAGAAGGAGAAATGGCTGCCTCTGGTCCGTGGAGTCAAGATAATTGGCACCTATGCCCAAACCGAAATGGGACATGGTTAGTTCCCTTCAGGGATCAATGGGTAACCTCTTTTTTGTAACTCCAGTTTGTAAATTGATGGTGCTCCCTAGGGTAAATCTAAAAGGGGAAAGGTAAAATACTTTGGTTAGCCGTTGATTTTTCCTGCCCTGTAGCCAGACAGCTGCTTCATTTCATATCCTAACAATCACAGGGTTAGTTTTGGTCTTTTCCAGAATGCACCTCTTAGCTGATCACTGACTTCATAGTTGTTTATTTGTTTTAAGACGAGGAGGTTGTTCTGAGCCCTGGGAGTCTGAATTTGACTTGAACTGGTTGGAACATGCTTATCAACACTACTGGGGTTTTTATTTTTGCCTGAATTTTGGGGTATGTGTGTCTTGGTTCTTAGTTCATAATCAGCCTGTGTAAAGAGGTTGGAAGTATACATTTAGATGCAGTGTAGCAGGGTGAGATTGCACATTTCTGGTTTTGAAAGTAAGGCATGCTTTGCCCCAAGAGCTTTTCTTCCAGATGCTACTCTGTTACAAGCAGCTGTGCAACTTCATGGAAAGATCTTGCTTTCAAAGAAGAAAAACATCTTATTCCCACTACTGCTGAAAACGACTTTTGCTTTGTCAAATGGAAGAACGTTTGATGGATCAGAAAAGAGTCTTTTAGCCCAGAATCTGGAATTAAGGCTGTTAAA